GCCACTTGTGCCGCCTTATGGATGCGCCGGCAGAGCGCACCCTCCCTCTCTCCGACGACCTATGGACGCGTGCCCACAGAGGGGGCTCTGCGTGCCACCTGTGGCACGCGTGCCATAGGTTCGCCATCACTGGCTTATGCAATATATGATCATATAATGTTACTAAACCCCCATTATTTTTTGCCTAGGTGAGGTGTTTTTAAATAAAACTACTACAATCTCTAAGATTTGAAATCATTGTTTAGTGAATAAGCCAGTGCACTGGATTCTGTATTTTTATTTATATATATATATATATATATATATATATAAAAAAATTTTAAACTTGCCTCTTTTAGTCTAAACTTCAGTACACTCCCTGGCTCAGAATATTGTTTTGTAGAATAAAACTGCCTGCCCCTGCATTCAGTACACAACATCTCACAACCATGCACACCACTTAATATTACTACGTGCCATCAGAAAATGAATCTTAACCCCTTAAGGACACATGACATGTGACATGTCATGATTCCCTTTTATTCCAGAAGTTTGGTCCTTAAGGGGTTAAACAGAAAACTATTCATTTTAAAAATAGGCAAAACATGCATGGGGTTATTTATAAAGTGGGCTCCATTTTCTTATGTATAAAACTGTTACTGCACCTTTATACATTGGAAACATTCTGTAAAATAATCGGACACTTTTTATTCGTCTTTGAGATGTTTACTTTTTTTTCCTGATGATTTTACCATTCATTGCAGACATAAAAATGTATTCTTTTATCAATAATCCATAACTACATCTCCCACAATGCTTTATCATTCTAAAGCAGTGATGGCAAACATTTTTGAGCCAGAGTGCCCAAACCGCAATACAAACCAACTTTTTTTCCTCAAAGTGCCAACACTGCAATTAAACACGACAATTATACACACTGACACTCACAGATACACAAACACTCACATATATACAGTGACTGACAGACACACACTTAACTGACACTCATACACATTTCCCTCAACACTCACAAATTACTATTATTTTTTTATTTTTTTTAATCTAACTCCTCCTAGCCTCTGTGGGAGAGCTGGAGTGGATTCCTCACCCGGAGTCCAGTGGGGATGCAGGGGCTGCTTGTGCTGCTGGCCAGGCAGGCCGGGGGCGAACTGGCAGAGTAGGCGACGAGGGAACTCTGACCTTCCTGCTCAGCTCCCTCACGCGCTGCTTAGTGATGCCGGGAGCCGGTCTGATGTCATATTCCGGCTCCCGGCATCACTAAGCGGCGCGCGAGTGAGCTGAGCAGTAAGAGCTCAGGCAATAGAAGCTGCAGTCCGCCTCATGGGGGGCCCAAAAGTGGCCAGCCGGCCAGCTCTTGGGCCCCCCAGGACACGAGGCTATCAAGGCAGTGCCGCCCAAGGCAAAAGCCTTGTTAGCCTCGCGGTGAATACAAACACATCACTGTTCTAGAGGCACACAAAGCATCGAAGGGAATTGTAGTTTTACAACATCTGGGGATCTACCTTTTGTGCACCCCTGCACTAGAACAAGATACGCACACACTGACACACAGATACATACACTGGCACACAGATATACACGCACACTGACACATGCACAAACAGATACAGACACTGACACAAAGATACACACTCATATACACACAGTGGCACACAGATACACACACTGGCACACATACACACCTTGACACACAGATACACAGTGACAGATAGATACACACAGTGACACACAGATATACATACTAGCACACAAAACACACATTTAGATACACTGAAGCATACACACAGTATCACACAGATACACTAACGCATACATATAGTGACACACATACAAACACACTGTTTTATATTTACAGCCACCCTCCTGTTACCTTTTTACTGTAGGAGGGTGGCTTGCTTCAGTTGCTGCTGGCTGAGGCTGATGTGTGGGCAGCAGCTCGCTCCTTTCTCCTCCCTGCTCCCTGTGCTTGTGATAGGCTGTCACTTCCTCCCAACCGGCTGAGATCACAGTGGCCCAGTCACGCTCTCAAAGAGCCACAGCACCGGACCAGGCCCCTGTTAAGTTACACTGGGCTGTGCCCCCCCGAGCGCTCTGGGACCCGGACTCTGGGTGGGGGGGCCATCACCAGGCAGAAAGTTAGATTCAGCAGAATCAGTGGCGGAACACCCGGCGCCCGGCCCCTCCAGCACTCTGGGCCAGGTGCAGCAGCAGCCACACCAGCTGCAACCGGCAGTAATTCTGCCACAGCCTTGGCCGCAATTCTGCTTTCAGCCTTCCCCTGCAGTATAACCCAGTTAGTTCTACAAAGCTAAGCAGTGTCATGCAGGACCACACTCATTAAAGGACCACTATAGTGCCGGGCTGGATGGAGAGGAAGGGGTTAAACTTACCTCTTTCTCCAGCGCCGGGTGGGGAGCTCTCCTCCTCCTCTCCTCCCTCTTCTCCTCCTCTTCGGCTGAATGCGCATGCGCGGCAGGAGCTGCGCGCGCATTCAGCCAGTCTCATAGGAAAGCATTCTCAATGCTTTCCTATGGACACTGGCGTCTTCTCACTGTGATTTTCACAGTGAGAAGCACGCAAAAGCCTCTATTGCCTGTCAATGAGACAGCCACTAGAGGCTGGATTAACCATATTATAAACATAGCAGTTTCTCTGAAACTGCTATGTTTATAGAAAAAAGGATTAACCCTAGATGGACCAGGCACCCAGACCACTTCATTAAGCTGAAGTGGTCTGGGTGCCTAAAGCATCAGCTAAGTAGTGTCAGCAAGTGAGCATGGCCTTGTATTGAATGGTCTTTATTCTAAAGAGACATCTGGCTCTCCTGCAGAAGAAGACCGGGTCCTCTGGAAAAAGTTGTCACACCGTACTAAAACAGGCAAGTTGTCAAACCGTACAGTGGGCTGTACTGGTGACCGTGATTGGAGTGTTCCTTTAAGTAACTGATTGTTCCATAAATGTGCTGCTAGCTCCCCTCCTGAAGGATTGCGATCGCCTGAGCTTGACTGCCAAGGATGTTGATTAGGGCACTTCTTCACAAAACAATAATGGCAAAAGTGTTGTTAAAATGTATGGTAATAGTGAGATTAACTATTAATTGGCAGCAGTTAACAGGTCAATAAATATCAAACTTTAAGTTGTTAAGTGAACCATTAGTATGATACTGGAAAAAAAAAAGGAATTTTTATTAAATACATAACTACCACCAGGTGGCGTGCGGTATGTTTTTTTTTTATAACGCAGAAGCATTACATAAAAAAACTTTGTGCATGGTGCCATAAATTAGAGTTTATTCACTGAACTGGGAATTATGCAGAATTGACAGAATATTTGAACATTTTAGGACAAAATGTCCACGTACGAAAAATATGGGAGGAGCAAGGCACTGATATTATTGACGTATATATCTACACAGTTCTGTCCTGCCAAATCCAGAAGACTTGGGGGAAAGAATTACAGGGGAGGCAGTGCCCTCCAGTTTATGTTGTCCAAAAAAATTAAAATACTCCTGTCATTT